AAAATGTTCTCAATAGTTGACCTTTCTCGAATTTCCCTGGCACAAGTGTGCTACACAACTTCACCTCCCCCTCCCCCTCCGCTCGACGCTACTTTTTTGGGAAGGAAATGGAGGAATTTATGAAAAAAAAGCTCACGAAAAGTGGGTAGGAAATTGAGAAAATAGAATGGGGGGATGGAAGTCGCACCAGTGGGGGTCACATTTTGCAGAAGTTCGCCCTAACAGCAGGAGGTGTCATGGCTTGGTACCCGCATCACAGCCCCGTTTGGCCCCGGCGCCGATAATGCACGTACGAGCCGTTTTCACGCCAAACGAATGTATGTCAGCAAGACGTTCCTTGGCTTGGTCAATTCCTAAAACGGACTAGTGGGGAAATACACCGTGTTCCCCACCTCCAACTACACCGGCCTGGTCTCAAGCTCTAACAGAGACGTAGAGTGCCTCCTCAAGACGGTTCCTTGCATTTTACAGGGAATCCATACATGATGAAACCGAGGATACTTTTTGCTGCCCTCTTTTAGGAAAGTCAAAAAGGGGGTAAGTAAATTGTTTTAGTACGCTGATAGTTCGATAGATTACGGGGATTGGAAGATTGAAATCAACGTGATTTGTAGTTATAAATTAACCATTATTCGTGGCATATAGCAGAAAAGCCAGAGCTCAGCAGTAGACTCACACTTGGGAGCGAGCAACAAAGATGAACTGCGGGAGCTGTTAGAATCCCCGCATTATGTAAAAAAACCGTCTTGAAAAGGCGCTCCACGCCCTGATCGACATCCATTGTAAGACTACCAGTTTTGTATTTTCTCGTATGTTTCTGTCGGGCTTTGCACATATGAGAACACAGACTCTCTTCGTTTCGTTGGAACTCTTTTACACTTTTTCGCTTTTTCACAAAACCATATTTCCACTATAAGAACTATCATCCCTGCCAGGAAACACTAGGAATAAAGAAAAAAAACTCAATCACTTCGACCAACCAATCACAAAAACCACTAGGGGAAAAAACCGAATCTCCTCACTCCAACCTCAATTCATGTTCCTTGGTTGAACAAGTCTTTAAAAAAGAGTAAAAAGGTAATTTACACACTCTCTACAGGAGTACCGTTAAGATGAAACATAAACGCGAAACAAAAAAAAAGAAATTTTTGAGCAAAAGTTATGATCAAGTGCAGATAAAAGAACAGCTATTAGGCAACTAACAAAGGGACAGGCAATGGCATTTGCATGCGACGTACCCGCTCAACGACTGACGACTTCCCAGTCCGACTCGTCACTCTTCACCGTGCCGCTTCTTGACGAAGCTATCTCTTTTCCCTCTTCTGGTTGGCCGAGACACTTGCGTAGGGCCTGGATCTGCTAAAACGACGAAAGACGCAGGTTCGTAAGGAAAAAAGAAAAAGGAAAATCCCATATAGGTCAGGCAAACGGTGTGTAAAGTTTCCCACGACAATTGTGACATAACACAGAATCATCCGAAATATCTCAAACTAGAAAGTACAAAAGGATATTTTATTCAAAGGAGCTAATTAACGTAACAGTGAAGAAAAAGCTGAGAACCTGTCGCAAACGCCCCGAACAACGTCCGGTTGATTTTTTTAACATTGAAAGAGCACGAAAAGAGAGACAGGGGCGGGTGAACGCGAACGCGTGGGTATCAGACCAGACAAACGAGAGCGAGAGCCATACAACCACATACACAACAAGGGTGAGAAAATCTGTAGCAATGGCACGCAAAAAAAAACATTTGTGGACATTTATGCCTGGTATGTCAAGGACGTCTCGAAGGCAGAGCCCGCATTCATTTAATGTTCTCACGCCTTCTTGGATATCGCAGCCACAAGGCTGGAGAATGTACTAATTTCGCAGCTTAAAAATGTGAGAGGAAAGCAGCGCTCGCTCGAAAAGGCTGCCGTCCCACCCAAATGACCGCCACAACGAGGTAGGTGGGCAGGGCGGCGGCAGCCTCTTCGAGAGCGAGCGGTGCTTTCCTCTCCTATCTTTGAGCTACAAGGATGCGAGAATGAGCGAAAATAAGCTCATCTCTATCGACTTGACGAACGGTGCTACGAATATCCAAAGAAGGCGTGCAGAACAATCAAATATAATGCGGAGCTCTGCTTCAAGTTGTCTGAGCGCTTCTTTCAGCTCACAAGTGCGTGGATATGGAAGTCAAGAGTTAGCCTAGAAGAAATGGAAATCCGGGTGAGATGAATACGAATCCGAGAAAGAGAGAAATGCTTCCCGTGCATAGAACTGAGCACTGCGGCCAGATCCTGTGCACACGAAGGATTCCGAGGCTCAGAGGCTCGTAGAACATCTCTAAAGCTGTATAACTACCGTCAAAAGGCTGATCAAGTTCGCGACAAATGTCCGAACAATTTCAAAATTTGCTGATACTTCCAGAAATTGCTACATAGATATAATCTAATCCTGGTAGTTTTATCATTACTTCTGGTGTGATGAGTCACTCTTCATAGCGTCAAAAGCGAACACAAAACACCGTTCAGCCTGATCAAAGGCCAACTAGCAGCACTATTTTACTATTCTACGCAAGAAAGAAACAGCTTCAAAGCAACAGGCAAGTTCAGGCAAAGCTCGATCAAAATTGAACCAAATTGTAGGAAACTACTACTATATACGCATAGTGAGCCACAATGTTCCTCGGGAAGCATACAGGAAATCACATAAAGGAAATCAGTAAATGAAAGGTATATGCCAATCGTTCTGGCGAAGCGGAAATGAAAGTCTTTCACGAGCCTTAAGTTCCAGTGGAACCTTCCTGTGTGTGATGAGGGGGGGGGGGGGGGGGGGGGGGGGGGGTACTAACCCGGACCAGCTTTGCTTTCTATGAAAAAAAAGTGTCAAGCTCCCCGACAAGAAACCGGGAAAATCGGGTCGCAATCTTAGAAAGATGCAACTGGGCACTCGCGCAAAGCCGTTTCTGAATGGTATGGTCATGGCGAGGCGGAGAGGTGTAGTGGCAAGTTGCATCTCACTACGGTTTGGGGGTCAAATACTGAACTGACCCCCGTCCAGGCCCGCTAAGCCCTCTATCCTCCGGGAACGGTAAACTGAGCACTGACTTGTACATCGGCTGGCACCCGTAAGTCATTTTATGGGCCACGTCGCACTCAATAACCCACTGCTGTTGCGAATGGAAACCACACTGCGTCCAAAAGTATACTTCCACCCATAAATCTCACAATATCCCTCCATACACGACGTTTTCAAAAAAAGTCTCCCTATGGTATAATGTGGTAATTACCAGTACCAATTTACATGCCAACTCCGAGAACTGACTTTCCAGAGCAACTTCAACTTTCTTTATTTTTTGAAAATTTCTCACTCTGACAATGTCCCACAAGTATACTTCCACCGCATATTTTCCCATTGCGTCTCATTTTTTTTCGGGTAAACTTTCTCATCATCACTACCTTTGACCTTTTCCAGGTTATGGCGAGAGGGCTTTCACTGTCTGACTTCGAAAAGGGGCAGATTATCGCAAAGAAGGCTCAAGGACTGTCGAATCGTCAAATCGCAAGAGAGTTGGGCCGCAGTCATTATGTTATCGATCAGTTTGTCAGGGATCCCGCAGGATATGGAGTCAGGAAGAGTTCTGGGCGTCCTCCTTTGCTGTCTGAACGAGATAAACGTCGTATCCTGAAAGAAGCGTCCAACTCCACGATGTCATGCAGGGAAATAAAGTCATCGCTGAATCTCAATGTCTCGAAAAATACTGTTTGGCGTGTCTTGAAGAAGTCAGAGTTCATCATCAGAGAGAAAATGAGGAAGGCACCGTTCCTGACAGACCGCCATCGCGAAAACCGACTCGCCTTTGCTAGAAGATGCTGCCGAACCGACTGGAGCAAGGTTAGCTTTCGGCTGCGGTGCCCCTCTGCTTGTCTTTTCAGTTTTTTCTCTAGGTGCGTTTTCCCGATGAGAAGAAATTCAACTGCGATGGCCCAGATGGACGATCTGAGGAAAGATAAGCTCAATTTTTCGAGGCGGAACTTCAGAGGGGGTGGTGTCATGGTCTGGGCTGCGATCGCATCAACGGGACGTTTGAAGCTGTGCTTCGTATCGAAGAAAATGAACTCTTCCGACTACGTAGAGGTAATGCGACGAGGTCTGTTACCTTTCTGGCGAAGGATACGGCATGAAAGTCCTGTATTCGTGCAAGACAATGCACCAATCCATGTCAGCCGGAGCACTCGAGCGTGGTTCAGCCGTCATCAGATCACTCTTTTGCCCTGGCCAGCGAATAGCCCAGACCTAAACCCTATCGAGAATGTTTGGGGCTTCATGGTACGCAGGATATACGCGCACAATGCGCGATTCGAAAATGTCCGTGAGCTCAAGGAGGCTATCATTGATGCATGGCACCATGTCGACAAAACACTTATAGACCACCTCTATTCGAGCATGGACAACCGCATTTTCGAACTTATTCGAAAGAATGGGGCTGCAATAGATTATTGAAATGCGATTATTAGTTATTTGTTGATACAGTGTTGTTTTCCGAATCGATTCGTTTAGTGGAAGTATACTTGTTGGACATTGTCAGAGTGAGAAATTTTCAAAAAATAAAGAAAGTTGAAGTTGCTCTGGAAAGTCAGTTCTCGGAGTTGGCATGCAATTTGGTACTGGTAATTACCACATTTTATACCTAGAGGCTTTTTTTGAAAACGTGGAGGCGAGGTTAGAGTGGTATGGGTGGAAGTATACTTTTGGGACGCAGTGTAAAATGCGTGCCGCAGGCGAAGATTTTATTCTTCTACCCTTCACGGCTGGGCTGCATCTTTTCACGACGAATACGCCATGCTTTCATGCTGCATCCTAGTCAAAAACGGCGCAGAGGACCGGGATGTCATCTGAAAGAAGGCTAGGCTGTCTAAACGTTCCATCCACCCACGCGTAACGAAGCTGCGCACAAATCAATACTACTGTGAACTCATACAATACGTTATCCCACATGAATTTCGACCGAACGTTGCCTTTCAGAACTGATGGAATCGCAGATGCAAAGCACCAGAAATAGCGGATGAGGAGACCTAAAGCTTTTTCCAATGAAAAATTTACCTTAATATTGCCCTCGAATATCGAGTCCTGAAAACATGCAACGAAAACCATGCAATTAACAAACCTTTTTAAGGAATTCGCATTCTCTTAGCTCTTTCCTGAGACGATTAGCGGAAGCTATGACACCATTCTGAACAAAGGGTTACGTGCAAAGCAAACAACAAAGGACAATGTGGGGGTGTTAGAAGCGGCATGCACAAAACTTGGAAAAGCATGCCATGAACCAGAACAAGTACAACCTGCCATCGACTGTTATAGCGAACAGAAAATCACTTAGAAGCATAGTGCACCACACATTACACAACATCCGCGAGCCAGATGGGAAAAAAAGCAAATATATGTGGATTTCAATGTAAAATGAAAAAGAAAGAGAAAGATAATCTACATTGCGACAATATCACTCACACGGAGAGCTAGACACACGTTCAATCTACAACTCTCTTCATTTTTCCACCACAACCCGCTTAACTCTGTGCAAGCGTTGAAAATTGGCAAGGAAGCAGTGTGAGGTTCAGCTGCCGTCCACTTAAATCTTGAACGCTACCCACTCACACTCGATATTTTTCTCGGATCTCAGGAATCTGAGTGTTAATCAGAACAAGCCTATATAACATTTAATACTAGGTTGGCCGGAAAGCTATGGTAAACTACTGAGGATGTTGAGGATACGTTTCTT